TACAAGTTCCATCATGCCTCTGCAAGTCATAGCTGTAACTGTCAGTTTTGCAATGCCTCATGGGAAATGTAAGTCCACAACAGCTGGAGAGCCACAGATTGCCCACCCCTGTACCAAACTGTTGATTTGGCCACTCCTAATGTTGCTGCTATCTCTCTGATGGATTTGTTTCATTTATGAAGCCTTACAATGGCCTGTTTCAATTGCATGGACAGCTACTTTGAACGCATGATGTAGGTTTACAGCAATACATTCCCACACTTAGAATCAACTCCAGGCCTTTTACCTGTTTAATTAATGAAAAAAATAATGGAGTAGCCCACACCGAGCCATAAAACAGCTTTTGATTCAATTGTTCAATTACTTTTGGTCCCTTGAAAAAGGGGGGATGCTTATTATGAGCTGTAATTCCTAAACCCTTCCTCCAATTTGGATGGACATACCCTCAAATTAAACCTGAGTGTGCGCACTTTCAGCCCATATCCATTATATAACTATAGCTTGAATATGTTTTGGTAATATACCTTAAAAAAAACTAAAATTGTGCCCGTATCCAAATATCTATTTATTACTCCTAGATTGTAAGCTCCAAGGAGCAGGGCCCTCCTTTCCCTCTTGTATTGAACTGTATTGTTGCTGTATTGTCTCCCGTTATATTGTAAAGAGCTGAGCAAACTGTTGGCGCTATATAAATTCTGTATAATAATATATATATTATTAATATTACACAGGATTTATATAGCGCCAACAGTTTGCTCAGGGCTTTACAATATAACGGGAGCAGGGGCGGACTGACCATTTGGAAACTTGGGCACTGCTGAGGGCCCGCAGTCCGTAGGGGGCCCCATGAGATGCCCCTGGTACCTTTTTCATAGGCTTTTTTGAGTTTGGGGTACAGAGGCCCTATGATCCCCTATTGCCCGGGGGCCCCATGAGTTGTCAGTCCGCCCCTGAACGGGAGACAATACAGCAACAGTACAGTTCAATACAAGAAGGATAGGAGGGCCCTGCTCCTTGGAGGTTACAATCTAGCTTACAATATGTGTGTGTGTGTGTGTGTGTGTGTGTGTGTGTATTTGCATGGATGATAGGCATCTCAGACTGTAAGCTCCGTGAGTGCAGGAACTGATGTGAATGTTCAGTACATATAGCCACCATAGATGGCTCAATTTCCTCAGCTAATGAAGAAAACAAAATCAATCTCCACTGCTGGCTATTGTACAGTATTCAGGCAGCTGAAGATGTCTGAATACAGTGGCACCGCTGAACACTGACTGCATCTGCTAGGATGCAATCGCTGTTCCTCCAATAATTTTCTAGCCAGCTCAGGCAATTTTTAAATTGACCTTTGTCAAGCTGGGTGGTGCTTGCAGAGCCGCCCACTGCTCACATTTTGGCCAATTTAGAAGGAATCAGATGAAATGCTTATTGCACCCCCCCTCTTTATAGTACTAGATGTCCTTTTCTAGTTTCTATTCAGCAGCATGCAAAGTATTTTAAAAATATTCTCCTTCAGAAAATAAATTTCCCCCCAAAGCAATTGATAAGTGAGAGAAAAGAAAGATTTGGAGCAAATCTTTCACATCATTAATTACATTTTCAGTGCGAGTCTGAAATTGTTTTGTGAGCGTTCGTCATTGAACTGTCACAGGAATAATCTAAGCTTCGTGCACAAGTCCCCAGTCGGCCAGATGCTTTCATGTGTAAATAGGAAGCATAGAAACAAGGACGTGACTTGCTAATTAATTGAAGCTGACAATCTTTTCCTTTAGGTTTTCCTGGCTGCCTAAAAAACAAATTAACTCCTTCTATTGCAGGCCCTCAAGACTCATTAGACCTAAATATGTTAATAATAGGAATTGTATTAAGCATCTTAGCTGTAGCCTCCTTATCCCTAAACGCATTTACAATGTTGCTAAAATCCATTTAATATAGCTGCCACTTACATGCAGAAAGGTGGCCATTTTGTAAAGAAATGTTGTTTAGCTGGACTGTTCACTGGAAAAGGTACTTACAGCAGTAGATGAAAACTTGCAATTGATATAGAACTGGGGCATCGAACAAATGTGATAATTGTAAAAACAAACAGGTTTGAGCCTGTAAAAAAAAAAACCCCTGGTCTTGGGTAAATGGAAACCAGTCATGAAAAAAAAAAAAAAATATCATGGCCAATTGATTCCTTCCCTAAGCAAGCCAAGGGACATTAGGGAGGACTTACAGACACACAATTCCCTAATGTACACATTAAGAGCTGGCCAGACCAGGCAATCACTCTCCTAGGTAGACACCTCAATGGACCCTTATTGAAAAACACGTAGAATGCCATTTCTAAACAATCCTTTTGAAATTGTTAGTTGCCTGACTGTTGTGCTGATCAGAAGGCTTTGATGTTATCAGAGTCACAGACCTGGAACAAGAACACAGATTGGTAATTCTGACGATTTATCTCAGAACATGTTTTACTTGAACAAAATGCACTTCCCACCTGTCTGGGAAACTACACAGTATGCTGAGAGTGTGACTGTAAAAAATAGGCCTTGCCAAGCAAATATAAAGGCTCAGCAGATGGGACAATAGTGCAGCAAGAGATCAGTGTAGGTTTGCAATTTATAATAATCAAAAAATGCATATGCATGGGGCATTATACCACAAACACATACAGCACATTCCCCAGCATTCAGTATCGTTGGCTAATATGGTTCAGAAATCTAATATATCTCCTACTGAGTAAACCATATCCAGTGTTTGGATGCTCAGATTTACCAAAGCACTGGTGTAAACACACAGACCACACTAGCTTGTGGCTATTGACATCACTAGACTGATGTTATCCCATGCAAGACTATTTTCCCATGTGAAAAGAGTTTTTCCCACTGTGGAAATACGGTTTCCTAATTCCTATGCATTCAGAGCAGCAATCCAGGCTCCATTCAACCTCACACAGCTGAGAGTACCTGCGGCCCTCTCCATCTGACATAGGAAACAGATGGCTGAACACTGACCAAGCTTTAAATTAGAACTGCACACACCTGACTGTACTTGTTCAGCCAGTCAATATTGTTTACTCTTGTTCTGCCTGAAAAGAACACCCATGGTCATCTTTTTTTAAGGCAGTCCAAATAGCAATGGAAATAAAGTGTAGTAACATACAGCAATCAATTAGATTAAATGTAACTGATAGCAGTTCACTAAGGTTGCACTGGCTATTCTGTCACAGGCAGCAAAAGAACTGTTAAAGCAGAACTCCAGGCAAAAACTTCTTTACATGTCGATATCCTACCTTCACTGATTATGTCTTCCATCTTCTGGTTCACTCAGTAGTTGCCCTGAAATAGCCTATTCATTTTCAAATCAAATGCCCTTTGGTTTCCTGTTTGTAAGATCAGTGGCTGCTATGCTTCCTTTTCCCCCAGCCACTGGTCTTGACACATCCCTTCTGTAGTTCATTCTCCAGGAAGCAGTGATGTAAATCAGCCACACCTGCAGTGATGGGCAGACCAAGACTCTGAGACACATTCTACATGTACAGGCCTAGTGTAATCATCTGCTTTCACTAGAATTCCCTGCAATTGATGGGAACTGTAGTTTCCTTTTACTGCAGAGAGAGAGGAGAGGAAATTATGCAATCCCTGATGTTACACCTCCTTCTTCGCAGAGCAGATGCTGTCATCTTTGAATTTTCATGACCTCATCTCTGTAATTCAAATTAGATTTTTCTCCTAAATGGTAAGGATTTTCAAAATTGTATTAACTGTTTAGTGTTCTGTGTAGGGGGTGTACTAATAGGTGATTTTTTTTTGTCTATCCCGGAGTTCTTTAAAAAGCAAAGAGAACACTCATATGTTCCTATTGTATTGCCCCTTCCTTGGCCAGTGAAATGTCAGTGTCACTGCTCCATTTAACCAGCAAGGAAGTTACACCATAGGAGGAGGCGAGGGCTCCCTTTAGTGATTCTGTTGCTATGTGAGTTACTCATGTGACATGCCCTAAAAATATGATTTTTATACTTGCTGTAAAATCTTTTTCAGGACATAGGATTATACTGTAGAATAGAATAATAGTAATTCTTAGATATTTGGATTATACAGTTTTCAGGAGGTTTGGAAACTGGCAAAGAAAGAAAAGAAAACAGTTAATCTTGCCCCCGCATAACCCTACCTCCAATTGTAAGGCCCCAGTTTAGTGAGCAAGCAATCCTTAAGGTCATAATACAGAGAAAGGGGGACCTGCACCCCTCAATGGACAAGAAAAATAATTTACAGTAAGTGCAGTTTTTATCATCCACTGAGGATCACAAGAATGTAGCATATTTGGGTTATATTGCTATAACCCACCGGCATACCAAAAAATGTTAAGTCAGCTTCCATCTAACCCTGCCTCATTATGCAGTACTTATGGCCATAATACAAGAAACTGCACCGTAAGTACTTTATGCTGTACTTGCTAGGTTACTATGTCCCTAAATGAAACAGAAATGTAGGAATTCTTAGACATTGGAATCTTGGTACAAGATCATCTGAAGCAACCAAATCTCAATGAAGACTGGTTGAAAAAAAGGGACTAGGCAAATATAGAACTCGCCGTAAGCAAGAAAAAAAAGGACACAGGATCAACCTGATGTTCTAGAACAGGGCAGGTAAATGCTGCTAAGAATTACTGCTACCTGATAAAATGATGGATTCAAGTGTGGAGAACAACCAAGCATCCACCAGGAGAAAAAACAAAGTAAGCAATAAAAAAAAACCTCAAGAGAAGAAATAATTACACTGACAAATTCCAATAAAAAGTGTAGTAAAAATAGACATTTGGCAGTTGGGTTATTTTTTTTTTTTTTTTTTGCCAGAGTCCAAAGGCAATATAACCCAAACGTCTAGGAATTATTAGCTTCTTGGGTCCTTCAAGGGACAAAAAACAAAAAAAAGATTCTGAACTGCTGCTGAGTGGTACTAAACCCTCCCCATTTCCCTCAGTGATTAAAACAGGTGGTGTGCACCTTTTACCTGATGCAATGACCGGATCCTTCATGATCTCCATGTAATGGGGCAAAGAAATTCTTCAGGGATGTTGGAAGAAGCTGCTTTCATCTTGCTTCGTAATTCTTCTATCTTTCTCATAATCTTATTTCGCAGTCCCAGGGATTCTGCCAAGTTAAACATTTTGCAAATAATGGTACACAGTAATCTATACTTAAATACACAAAATAACATCTGCTTACAACATTGTGTTTTTAACTGAAACTCATTACCTAAGATGAAGTGACAACAATAGCTTGGAACATTCAGGAGACACGGCAGAAGATCAACATTTGCACACGTTGGCACTAAATAACTGCATGGAATTTTGAGGTTGTTACGTTAAAAGGAGGTTCTGAAGGGGCCCTTAGGGGATTCAAGTGATCTAGCTGTTCAAAAGCATTACAGCACATCATCATTTTATTCCATAAGACATCACACCATTAATATGCTATTTTTCCAGTGTGGAAATGAGTTATGGTATGTTTTAGCTAAGATGCTTACAAAAAAAAAAAAAAATCTTGCAATGAGACCAATATTCATGGTTGTCAGGCTGAATAAATATAACACCTATGTATGTAGGTATACAGTCATGGCCGAATTGTTGGCACCCTTGATATTTTTCCTGAAAATCAAGTATTTCACACAAAAAAGGTATTGCATTAACACATGTTTTGCTATACACGTTTATTCCCTTTGTATGTATTGGAACAAATATTAAAACAGAGGCAGAAAAGCAAATATGACATAATGTCACACAAACCCCAAAAATGGGCTGGACAAAAGTATTGGCACCCTTAACTTAATATTTGGTTGCACACCCTTTGGAAAACATAACTGAAATCAGTCGCTTCCTATAACCATCAATAAGCTTCTGACACCTCTCACCCGGAATTTTGGACCACTCTTCCTTTGCAAACAGCTCCAGGTCTCTCTTATTGGAAGGACACCTTTTCCCAACAGCAATTTTAAGATCTCTCCACAGGTGTTCAATGGGATTTAGATCTGGGCTCATTGCTGGCCACTTCAGAACTCTCCAGCGCTTCTTTGCCATCCTTTCTGAGTGCTTTTTGACGTATGTTTTGGGGTCATTGTCCTGCTGGAAGACCCAGGATCTTGGACGCAAACCCAGCTTTCTGACACTGGGCCCTACAGTGCGACCCAAAATCCTTTGGTAATCCTCAGATTTCATGATGCCTTGCACACAGTCAAGGCACCCAGTGCCAGAGGCAGCAAAACAACCCCAAAACATCATTGAACCTCCACCATATTTTACCGTAGGTACTGTGTTTTTGTTCTTTGTAGGCCTCATTCCGTTTTCGGTAAACAGTAGAATGATGTGCTTTACCGAAAAGCTCTATCTTGGTCTCATCTGTCCACAAGACGTTTTCCCAGAAGGCTTTTGGCTTACTCAAGTACATTTTGGCAAACTGTAGTCTTGCTTTTTTATGTCTGTGTCAGCAGTGGGGTCCTCCTGGGTCTCCTGCCATAGCGTTTCATTTCATTTAAATGTCGACGGATAGTTTGCGCTGACACTGATGCTCCCTGAGCCTGCAGGACAGCTTGATGTCTTTGGAACATGTTTGGGGCTGCTTATCCACCATCCGGACTATTCTGCGTTGCAATCTTTCATCAATTTTCCTCATCCGTCCACGACCAGGGAGATTAGCTACAGTGCCCAAACTTCTTGATAATGTTGCGCACTGTGGACAAAGGCAAATCTAGTTCTCTGGAGATGGACTTGTAACCTTGAGATTGTTGATATTTTGCCACAATTTTGGTTCTCAGGTCCTCAGACAGTTCTCTCGTCTCCTCTTTCTGTTGTCCATGCTTAGTGTGGCACAGACAGACACACAATGCAAAGGTTAAGTGAACGTCTCTCCTTTTTATCTGCTTTCAGGTGTGATTTCTATATTGCCCACACCTGTTACTTGCCCCAGGTGAGTTTACAGGAGCATCACATGCTTGTAACATTCTTATTTATCCGCAGCTGTGAAAGGGTGCCAATACTTTTGTCCAGCCCATTTTTGGAGGTTTGTGTGACATTATGTCGAATTTGCTTCCTCCCTTTTTTTGTTTTGTCCCAATACACACAAAGGGAATAAACATGTGTATAGCAAAACATGTGTTAATGCAATACGTTTCGTGAGAAATACATGATTTCCTGGAGAAATATCAAGGGTGCCAACAATTTCGGCATGACTGTATATAGGCATTAAAAGGAGGCATCGGTGCAGAATTTAGGATTTATTTTTTTGTTACACATACCAAGTGCCCCCCAACTCCCAGTTCAGATGGAGTGCACTGAATCTCACAGCTTACTATGTTAATCACAGTCATGCTGGCCCAAATGTTGCATGTGATGTTCAGGCTGCATCCACCAATGATCCAACATTGCTTCCTCCCCTGCACCCCTCTCCTACCTTGTGTGTGTATAGCGCAACCTGTGTAACATGGGTGCTCTTCTGCATCCAGCTTCCATGTGTATTTCAGGGGGGTGAAGTAATTGGGGGAAACTGGACTTGAATTTTGAGAGGTTAATATGGGTAGTATCTTGTACACTCATAATTGGGCTGCCATAATGAACAAATTAGTGTCCCACACAAGTGTCAATACTACAGAAGCTCCTTCACAAAATCAGAGGCTGGTGAACAGAGACTTTCCCTAGGACAACCAATCAAATCTTTTCTTCCATTTTCTAAGTTGCACTGGAGAAATGACAGCTGAAATCTCACTGTTTGCTCTGGGAATACTACCAAGTTCAAAACAACCCCCCCCCCCCCCCACCACACACACACTTTTATACAGATATAGAGTGACTTACCTATCTTCAGGTCATTGAGCAGCGTGTCCTTGGTGAGGTCAAGTAATTCTTTGCCATCAATATTGTTGGAGCTGAACTGCTGTTCTACCTCTGCCAGGCCTTCTGCGGAAAGCCAGTTCCTGACATCTTTCTCTGTCCAGTTCTCAATATGGCTCTCTGTTCTTCTCAACCTGCCAACTGAAAACAAAAAAATCCAGGAATGTGTAACCACTGGGAGGATGTCTAGCTTTCTGTTAGGCTGAAGTCTCAGTATAAAAAAGGCAATAACTCAACTATAGTACAAAGAACAGATAGGGGAAACTTCCAGCCAAAGTTCCAAGTAACCCATAAAGAGAAAGGTCTCCTGGGTAAGGTATTGAGGTATTGTACAGTAAGGCAGTGCAAAGTATTACCCGCTTAAGCTCCAGCCATGTACTCATACGTCACGGGAGTTTGAGCCATTATACCTGGATAATACCTGCAGCTGCAGGCATCATCTCACTACCATTTTTTTTTAAAGCAGACGATCAACTCTCTTGTGATACAAATCGAAATTAGCCGCTCAATTGCTATTACAAGCAGCAGGAGGGGATGTCCACCCACGAGCCCATGCAGGCTGCCCTCACCAGCTTTACTGGGATCATAGAAACATAGAAAAGTGATGGCAGAAAAAGACTGGTCCATCAAGTCTGCCCATATTTGCTTTTTTCTGTGTGTGTTTTTGTTTTTTGTTTTTTTTCTGGGGGGGGGGGGGTTGTTTCGTTTTTTTCTGTTTTGTTAACTTTATTGTCTTAGTATAGATCTGTGCTTGTCCCAAGCATGTTTGAAGCCATTTACTGTTGACTGGCTCACTACCTCTGCTGGAAGTTTATTCCAAGCATCAACTACTCTTTCAGTAAAGTAGTACTTTCTGAGATTAGATTTGAACTTTCCTCCAGTTAGGTTAAGGTCATGTCCCCCATCCATGTTCTTGATTTTGGTGTTGAAAATATTGCCCTCCTGAACCCTATTCACCCTCTTGATGTATTTAAAGGTTTCAATCATGTCTTCCCTTTCGCTTGTTCCTCCAGACTGTACGGTAAGTTCCTGAAGTCACTCTTGATGTGTTTTATCCTCCAGACCTTTCACCATTTATGTTACCTGTCTCTGGACTCATTTTATCTTATCAGTATCTTTTTGGAGATCCCCTGTACCACCAGGGGACCAAGATCGAACAGCTGGCGCTTTGGCTGACTGGTCACAGAGTCGAACAAAGACCAAGATCGGCTTTATGATATAGTAACCCAGAAATGATGACCTTTCATCACTTCCGGTGTACATAGAAATACATGGCTCCACTTAAAAAAAAAAAAAATAGTATTTAGTCACACTGATGTTGGTGTGATTAAATGCTTTTAAGAGCAGAGGATGGATTTGGGGTCTTATTGACCAGATTTTACCATAAAGAGTGCCTGTCACATGCCTTTTGCTGTCACAAGGGACGTATACATTCCTTGTGACAACAATAAAAGTGGTAACAGTGTAAAAAAAAAATTATTAAAAAAAAAAAAAAATTATTAAAAAATTAAAAAAAAAAAAAAAAATTAAAAAAAAAAAGAAATTAAAATGTCCTTGACAGCCCGAGATTGCACCCAAAGGCAAATGCATGCAATGATCCCACACGCACCAAACAGCGATCATTCCACACAAGTGAGGTATCGCCACAAACATCAGATCATGGGCAGTAATTCTAGTACAAAACCTCCTCTGTTAATTTAAAGTGGTAACCTAAAGGCTTTTAAAGCATCACCCATGGATAGTAAAATTTACATTGCACAATTTTAAAGCGTGACATGTTTGGTATCTATTTACTCGGTGTAATATCTTTTATATTTTACAAAATATTAGGATATGTATTGTGTTTTTTTGCATTAAAATTCCAAAAAGGTTTTTTTTTTTTACAAAAAATTACATTTGAAACACCACTGTGCAAATACTGTGTGGCATAAAAAATTGCAAAACCCAACAATGTATTCTCTAGGGCCTCACTTTAAAAAATATGTAATGTTTGAGGGTTCTAAGAGATTTTCTAGAAAAAATTACTGCTAGTTACATGTAAACAAAAAGTGCCAGAATCCACATTAACAGAATGCTGTATGCTATAGTCAAGACATTGCTTTTGGTGTAACAATTGCCTTAAGCTGGTCATGCATAGGGCAATGATAAAAAAAAATTTTAGACCATAAACTATTCAGACTAAGGCTGGCCATACATTATACAATTATCTGCAGATTTTTGGTTTAGATTTACCAAAAACCATATAATAGGAGGACAAACCTAAACAACACTTTCAGTTGTATCCAATTAGGCAGGCCCTTGCACTACATAGTTGAAGGTAAATCTAAAGGAAATTGGGCAGAAAATCTGCAGATAATTGTATAATGTATGGCCAGCCTTACATACATAGATCATTCATCTCTATAGAACCTGTAGTAGCAGCTCTGAAATGCAGCACAGGTGTTAGCCATTATGTGGGAATAAATGATGTCTGACACCACATAGGGCTGGGCACTGAGGTCTATGTGGGGACTAGACAGGAGGGGCCCATTTATGGTATTAATTACAAAACTATACTTGCACTTCATACTTCACAAAGAACAATCTAAAATCCTATCCTGTGTTTTTTTATGTTGTAAAGAATATAAGCACCTGTTGACTGACTGGCTGGTCCCAGTTTCCAGATAGTCACAGTCTTGTCCATGGATCCAATGGCCAGCAAAGGCTGATTTGGTGCTAAAGCACAGGCAGTCACATAGCTGTAGAAATCAAAGGATAATACCAATTACAACCATTTACAGAGCAACTCTGGATGATGGGTAAAATCCATCTATAAACTTCCAGTGATATCTGCTGAATATTTGTATTCAGATTGTAAGCTCCAGGAGCAGGGCCCTCCTATTCCTTTTTTATTGAACTACATTGTAATTGTACTATTCCCCCTTTATATTGTAAATTGAGCAAACTGGTGGCACTATATAAATGCTGTATAATAATAATAATTTGTGCATGTCTAGTGAAAACATTTTATTGGTACGTAGTCCTATTCCAGAGATTTACCTTCATTTCTCATCCCTGTGACAATGCCTAAAGTAGTTGGAAAGGCAATATACAAGCAATGTCCCCATGGCACTTGTTTAAAAACCACTCTATGTGAAATTCCTAAAATAAAAAAAAAAAAAATAATCACTGACTAAATGTTTGTTTTTATTGTCTTTATATCTGGTAGCCTGACCCCAAATCCTCTGGCTAATGTGGCTTACTCAGCAGGCAGTGGGTAGAGACCACAAGGAAGGCCATAGTAAAGCGGTACAGGACTGATCACAGCTGACACTGATGAAGCTTCTTTAGAAATGACAATACATAATGGCTGGATGAATCACCCAACGCGTGTGCAAAGTTTTGTGGGGTGGGAAGCTTCCGGATAGTGACACTGCTAAGCCATTCTGCATTTAAAATTGGACACGGAGTGTTGTCTGCAAGGCACCAGATTTTGCATCAACACACAACTAGCAGAATCAAAAGGCACTTTCAGTCTAATTTCAACTGATTGTCCATATTGGAATTTCATGAATGTTTATTTTTCTGAACTTTGTATTACAGGATTTAATTTTTTTTCCTGGTTAGTTGTGCACAAGTCATAGTGACCCTTGAATTTACTCATGACCACATGAACTTCATGCATACAGCTAGCTGAAATATATACAGGAGAACCTGCCAAAGGATTTGTAATGTTGTCAACTTTGTGATCCAGACACTCCTGCAAATCAACATTCTCAGATCTTTGACACATCAGCAGCAAATCTTGTCCAAGAACATGGGTCAAAACACACCGTAGCCTTGGGCAAGGAAGTAGCAGCAAAACGCTGAGGTCTCTTTTCCTACCAGCAGATGTGCACTGAGCAAAGCCTGATTGGCGCCTAGCACTGCTCCTCCCTTTCCTAGTCTGAAAGCTATTGCACAAAGCATTACAGAAAATTAAGAACAAGATGCAGCCAGGAACTTACACTACACATACACTGCTCAAAACAATTAGAGGAATGCTTTGAAAACACATCAGATCTCAATGGGTAAAAAACTCATGCTGGATCTCTATACTGATATGGACGGGGTAATGTGTTAGGAACGTAAGGATGCCCCATCGTTTGATGGAAATGAAAATTATCAACTTACAGAGGACTGAATTCAAAGACACCCCAAAAATCAAAGTGTAAAAAATGATGCAGCAGGCTGTCCATTTTGCTGAAATTTCATTGCAGCAACTCAAAATGGTACTCAGTAGTTTGTATGGCCCCCACGTGCTTGTATGCATGCCTGATGACGAATGGTGTTATGGGGTATTTCCTCCCAGATCTGGACCAGGGCATCACTGAGCTCCTGGACAGTCTGAGGTGCAACCTGGCAGTGTCAAATGTACCAAAACATGATATCCCAGAGGTGTTCTCTTGAATTTAGTCCAGGTGAGCATGGGGGACATTCAATGGTATCAATTCCTTCATCCTCCAGGAACTGCCTGCATACTCTCTCCACAAGGCAGGACACTGTCGTGCACCTGGAGGAACCCAGGACCCACTGCACCAGCGTAGGGTCTGACAATGGGTCCAAGGATTTAGTCTCGATAACGAATGGCAATCAGGGTGCCATTGTCTAGCCTGTGGAGGTCTGTGCGTCCCTCCATGGATATGCCTCCCCACACCATCACTGACCCACCACCAAAACAGTCATGCTGAGCAATGTTACAGGGAGCATAATGTACTTCTCGGCTTCTCCAGACCCTTTCACGTCTGTCACATGTGCTCAGGATGAACCTGCTCTCATCTGTGAAAGCAAAGGGCACCAGTGGTGAACCTGCCAATTCTGGTGTTCAATGGCAAATGCTAATCGAGCTCTTTGGTGCTGGGCAGTGGGCACAGGGCCCACTAGAGGAGATCAGGCACTCAGGCCACCCTCATGAAGTCTGTTTCTGATTGTTTGGTCAGAGACATTAACACCAGTGGCCTGCTAGAGGTCATTTTGTAAGGCTCTGGCAGTGCTCATCCTGTTCCTCCTTGCTCAAAGAAGCAGATACCGGTCCTGATGATGGGTTAAGGACCTTCTATGGCCCTCCTAGAGTATGGCCTGTCTCCTGGAATCTCCTCCATGCTCTTGAGACAGTACTGGAAGACATAGCAAACCTTCTGGCAATGGCACGTATTGATGTGCCATCCTGGAGGAGTTGGACAGCCTGTGCAACCTCTGTAGGGTCCAGGTATCGTCTCATGCTACCAGTAGTGACACTGACCTGAGCCAAATGCAAAACTAGTGAAAAACAATCAGAAAATATGTGTAGGGAAAAAAATATCAGTGTCCTCCACCTGTAAAACCATTCCTGTTTTGGGGGTCATTTCATTGTTGCCCATCTATTGCACCTGTTGTTAATTTAATTAACACCAAAGCAGTTGAAAATGGTTAACAAACCCCTCTGCTACTTAACTGACTGGATCAATATCCCAGGAGTTTAATTGACTTGATGCTATACTCTGATTAAAAAGTGTTCCTTTATTTTTTTGGAGCAGTGTAAAAAAATAATAAAACTAATGATTTTCACTGCATCCATCGTTGGTTTGTTATATCTGCCAGAGATAAGACTGGACTCTTGTTTAGACAGAGTTCTAGGCTCCTTCCATGCTGAACAGGCTACAATGAGGGCAGATTTGAGGTATGAATAACCAAATTCTGAATGATTAAAAGTGTAGAACATTAGACTGCATCAGGGTTAAACATACTTAGACTTATTATTATTACAGGTACTTATATAGTGCCATCAACTTACATATATATCGTACATTCACATCAGTCCCTACAATCTAAAGTCCCTAACTTACATTCATACATTCAGTAGATATACTAGGGCCAATTTAGACAGGATCCAATTAACCTACCAGCATGTCTTTGGAATGTGGGAGGAAACTGGAGTACCCGTAGGAAACCCAGGCACACGGAAAATGTGCAAACTCCAGGCAGGTAGTGCCATGGTTGGGATTCGAATCAACTACCCTAGTACTACCAGGTGGAAGTGCTAACCATTTAGCCACTGTGCAGGCTTGCACAGAGACTATGAAAGGCAAAAACCTTTAGTCAGCATAATTGGGAGCATGGTATTACTTGCTTCCAGAATACCAGCAACGAAAGGATTTATTACAGTGGGGTAACCTAGCGTACCTGTACTTTGCTAAATGTAAACAAAAGCCTAGTCCAAATCCCTAGTATGTATTTCAGTGGTAGGTTTTTGAGAATTAATTATCCCACGCTCAAAATTGCAGGTATGACTTAATGGAAATGTCAGGCAGGCTGCCTCTAGATCTGCAGGCTTGGTTTTATACTTGAGCTATGCAAATACATTTTACAGACCATGTTGGCAAACGTATGGCTTTCAAGATTTGTGGCTTGGAGAGAGCATAACTGACATCCAGCCCTGATGAAATGACTTGTAATGCATACCCAACATTCTCAAAAACACAGTTTCTAGGGAGTCATAATAAACACAACTCAGATGCTTCAACCTGATATAGCATTGCCCTGTAACAACCCATCTGCATTATTCCATCTATAAAATATAGCACTGCCATGTGCCTTGACAAAACACATTTTTAACGTCTCTCCTTTTGGGCTGCTGTTTCGCAACACAGGAAGACATGACACACAGAACATTGCGTTTCATTGTTCTTTATTTGGCAGCAGAAATGGTTGCACAGGCAAAGTACACCTAGCGCACATTCCACAGGCAACAGTAATTTAATACGTATCCAATGCTCGGGCTACACATACCACCCCCCTGATGTGAGTGATCTTTGGGGCAACACATTCTACATCGGTTTACTGCTCCTCTCCTGACCATAGACAAAGGCATAGAAGTCATAGCAAATATCACTACAGAAAACTTGCAAACTGATCCTGGTTGTAAAGCCCAACTCCAGCTAAACTTTTTTTTTTTCCGAAAAGTGTGTTATTTCAGTTATCAATGGAGCTGGTAAGAGTTAAACCTGTGGTGGGTTTTTATTGCGGCCTGTGCCCCCTCTGTGAAGAATCCAAGTAACTTTATTATTTTTTTAAGCCACTTTGGGGCTAGACGCAAGGGTGTCAAACTTGTGGCCCTCCACCTGTTGTGGAGCTACAAGTCCCATCATGCCTCTGCCTTTGAGAGTCATGCTTGTAACTGTCAGCCTTTCAATGCCTCATGGGCCTTGTAGTTTGGCAACAGCTGTAGGGCCGCCAGTTTGACACCCTTGCGGTTGCTTACTTTAAACGCCGGACCAATTTTTACATTACGGTGATGTGCTTATTGAATTGGCAATAGCCATAGCTTAGGGTAATGATTTAAGGAATTTGATCTTGCTGCAACATTATTGATTTTGCATTCATCAAAACTGGCATAATAAATTATTTTTAACCACTTCGCGCCGGCCACGCGCAAATGTGCAGCCTCCCGCGTCTGGGCCTTGTTGCCGAGCAGCCGCACATTTGCGTGCAATTAAGAAAAACATATGTGCTGGAGAGCGCACGCCCTGCGCGCTCCAAGCACACATGTCCGGTACTCACGGAAAGGTCCCGATTTCCTCTTTCGATCGGGACCTTTTCTTGATCATATGACCACTGTGACAGCGAATCACGGCGGTCTCATGAACCTAAAACCCCTCCTCCCAGCTTCTGAAACCCTTAAAGGGCCGGGAGGCGCCAAGGGGTTAAAGATCGAAACACAGCACTATTAGACCTAGTTCAC